ACTATGAAGGGTCCTACAGGAATGACAAATTTCCAGTCAGCCAGAAACACTTGGCAGGAAGATCGCAAAGACCCAGTCTAGAAGCATCTGGAAATATAGTGTCAGAGGGGAGTGCCACAAAACTGGGGACACGGATAACGACAAGAAAACTGTTCCAAAAAGAAAGCTAGCATCAAGTCAGCATAAGGGATGCTGTAAAGGAAACTTTCAGTAGCACAAGGCTCTGGCAATATCAGTTATTATATGGCAGAGAGGAAGGAGAGAATACTCCAGGGAGCAGGTTGACCCCATACAGAAGCACTTAGGACAAATGTCCAGGAGATTGCCTGTCATCTCTCTGGTCCCAGCTTCCTGGGCACTGAATCGTCTTCTTCAGGTTGTCTTAGAAGGGCACTGGTAAAATGGGAAGTTGTGACAAATTGACCCAGTAAGCTAGCCAGCTTCCCATTGCTGTACCAAATACCCGAGATGACAGCTTATGAAGATAAAAATGTTCCTTTTGATGGCCATTTCACTGAATTGCATTTTGGACCCATAGAAAAGCAGCATAGCATGCCAGGAAGCATGAGGAGACAAAATATCTCTTACCTCTACCCCATGACCAGAAGAAAGAGACCAGAAGCTAGTGCTGCAAAATCCCTTATAAGAAGAGCATGCTCACCAATGACCCCAAGGCCTCCTTCTAGGACCCATCTCTTCAGTGTTTCATCCTTTGCCAACAGAAAGGCCCCAGGGACCCAGGCATCAACACTCGGGTCTTTGGAGACTGTTCCACATATGAACTATAGCACCAAATAACTACCTCTGTCTCTCCTATGCCTATTGCTGTCACAATCATTCTTTCATTTTCTCTCTGCATGGCTGGCATGCATGTGTGTGTGCGTGTGTGTGTGCGTGTGCGTGTGCGTGTGTGTGTGTGTGTGTGTGTGTGTGTGTGTGTATGCACCTATCAGTACATGCAAGCCAGAGGTCAATATAGTATTGCCTTCCTTGATTGTTCTCCACTTTAGTTTTTTGTATTGGGGTCTCTCAGAGCTCACTGGTTGGCTAGGCCGGCTGGTCAACAAGCTCTAGGAATCTTCCAGTCATTGTCTTTCCATCCCTGGGATTATAGACACATGCCACTGCATCCAGGTTTTATTACATGGGTCTGGGGATCTGACTAGATCTTCATGCTTGTGTGGCAAACACTTTACTGACTAAGCTACTTCTCCACATTTATGTAATATTTTGATTTTTTTTTTAGTGTGGAGAGTCTATGTGTACATAGACATAATACACATTTCCTATACATGTGTACATAAGAGCATACATGTGTGCAAATATATGCATATGGAAGCAAGAAGTCCATATTAGGCATCTTTCTCATTTGCCCCCCCCCCACTTGTCTTAGAGTTACCATTGCTATGATGAAACACCTTGACCAAAACCAGCTTGGGGAGGGAAGAGTTTATTTGGCTTATGCTTCCTTATCACTGTTCATAACTGAAAGAAGTCAGGGCAGGAAATCAAGGAAAGGCAGGAACCTGGAGGCAGGAGCTGATGCAGAGGCCATGGAGACGTGCTGCTTACTAGGCTCCTCATGGCTTGCTCAGCTTGCATATCTATAGAAAGCAGGACCACCAGCCCAGGAGTGCTACCACCTACAAAGGGCTAGGCTCTCCCAATCAATCACTAATCAAGGAAATGGTCCATAGGCTTGCCTCCATTCCAATGGAGGCATTTTCTCAGTCAAGTTTCCCTCCTCTCAGATGACCAAAGCTCCTGTCAAGTTGACATAAAACTAGCCAGCACAGCACTTCATTTAATTTGACATACACTGTATCACTGAACCTGGATCTCGTCTCATCAGCAAAGCCGGTTGGCAATGAGTTCCAGGAATCCACCTGTTTCTAACTCCCCAACACCAATATCACAGGAGCATCCACTGTGCCCTTCTTCTACATGGGAGCAAGGGATAGAACTCAGGTCCTCATTCTTGTCCAGCAAAAACTTTACTGACTGATCATCAATCTCTCTAGCCCTTAACTACAATTGTATGACTAGAAGGATTGAATAGTAAGGACAAAAAATATCTGGAGTAAGCAGCAGCCTGGAGTAAAGGGAAGAGATGCAGCCACAAACACTCAATTTGGAGCCAACATTGAAGAGAAGCAGGATATTTGGAGATAGTTTCATTAGTAAACTCAGAGTGGGTTAGCTGATAGTGGTTTTTTGCTTTTTGTTTTGTTTTGTTTTGTTTTTTTGAGATGGCTCCAATTAAGTGAAGAGAAATATGGAAGCATCAGAGTCTAGCCCAAGGCAGGCTACCTCCTTGATTTCTCCCATAATCCAGCCAGTCTATCTCCTTTGACTTTTGCCTGATCTCCCTAAGGGATGGAGATGACGGCAATCAAAGAGCAAGGGGCAGAATCACTAATGCCCTCTTCCAGGTTGTGCAGGCATAAAAATACTTTTGAATCTCCAAGCTTCAGTGTCTGCCTTACTGTTTATTAATAATTGGCTCATGGATATGATGTACATTATTATCCAGCTCTTCACTTCCCAAATGATCAACCATCCATATGGCTGTTTACTTATCAAGGTCACTAGGATTGGGCATCACCATCACAACTCATTGGAAGATATCCAAGCATGAGCATAGAGAGTGGGACTCAAGGAGGGAGGGAGCTGGTAGTCCTTGTAGGAAAAGCAGCTGAGCTCAGGAGTGTGTGCTTGGGAAGTGTGTTCGGCTCCAGACAGAAAGAGCTTTCACGACTTTGCTTCTTAAACTATGGCAGTAGCATCCAGCCTCAGTGGGTGTATGTTTCCTGCCCCCTTACCTTCTCTAAGTTTTAGCTTATTGGCAAAAGATGGGAGTCTGGATTTTTTTCAAAGTGAAATTCTCACTTTGCCATATTAAATTATTCCTTTTGATCTTTCTGGTGAAATGTAAGGCTGCATGAAAGCACAAGTTCTGGTGAAAGGCAGCAATTTGCCTCGGATTCCAGGGTTACCACTCTAGATGATGCTGACCCCAGGCAGGTGACACAACTTTTCAGCTATTTTATTTATTTTTTTTTTTTCATTTGTAAAACTCAAAGTTGCAGTACTTATCCAAAGAATGGTTGTGAATTAAATCAGCTCATATCCGAGGAATATGGTTTTTTTTCTTTTGGTTTTTCGAGACAGGGTTTCCCTGTGTCTTTGGAGGCTGTCCTGGAACTAGCTCTTGTAGACCAGGCTGGTCTCGAACTCACAGAGTTCCACCTGCCTCTGCCTCCCGAGTGCTGGGATTAAAGGCATGCACCACCACTGCCCGGCTTGAGGAATATGTTTTACACAGTTGTAATGTGACATAAAATAAAATTGAGGAGTGGGAATGGCTCAGTTGGTAAAGAGCTTGCTCTACAAGCATGAGGATCTAAGCCTGGCTCCTAGGCACACACATGATAGCTGGACAAGGTGGCTGTAACCTCACAGGGGGTGTGAGTGGGGGGTTCCTGGAAACTCATTGGCCAGTCAGCCCAACTAAATCAGTGATTTCCAGGTTCCATGAGAGACTCTGTCTCAAAAAATAAAATAGAGAGTGATGACAGAGACACTCAGAATCAATCTCTGGCCACTACACACATACACACACACACACACACACACACACACACACACCCCTGCATGCAGATACATATAAATGAACACATACACAGCACCCACCCACACTGGGAGTACCGTCTCTGAAGGCATCCCAGATGAATACTAACAAAAACTAGGGAGACACTGGACACAGGGGATTATTTAACATGTCGAAGTGGATCTTGAGGAAACCGGAGCACGAACTCAACCAATGGTTAGTATCTCTCTAAGCAAAATATTGAAACTGTTTTCTAGGCATGGGTTTGTGGGGTAGCATTAGCAGGCAGTGAAGCTTTTCTACATTGATTGTCATGAATTTTGAGACAATGGGAGCTTTGAAGGGCAGAAGAAAGTCTTTGGGTAAACTTGGGAGTTTTAAGCCCTTATGAGTTCTCCCGATTTGTATGTCTTGCTTCCTGGAACCTGAGATCTTCCTATCTAAACTGCCCGGTAATGTGGAAACACACCTTGTAAGTGTGCAGAAGCTGAGCTAGGAATGCCCAGGGAGACTACACTCACAGTTCTAATGACTCAGGCTATGCAGTGGAGACCCGGACACTTTGCTCAGCCCTGCTCATCTGGCTCACAGCCGACTCTTCAGCCTCCAGTGACCCAAACATCTGAGAGCAGGTCCTGTTTTCTGTTAAACTTCTCAAAACAGAAGCCATTGAAAACTCCTGGATAAGCCACACGGAAACATTTAAATATTAATCCTGTTTGTGACGCACAGTCCTGGAGGAATCTTTGTGGCTGGCCACTGCGTTGCCCTTTGGAGTAACATTATTTGGATGTGGGGATAGATTTTGTTTAAATCTTCTTTTATTCCATTCTTGGAAATGAATTTCATTATTAGTCATGGGCAAAAGTCACTACTTTTTCAGAACTTGCCTTTCCTGGTAGCATAACTTTTAATTAATTTTCCTAAGCAACATGACAACTATTTAGCTCTTCGTCTTTGCTTTCAGTAGACTTCCTTTGATGCAATACTGGCTTTTGTTCATTTACATCTTTAGTATGCTTTAAAACAGAGATTTTCTTGTTTTTATTTTGAGTATATGAGTGTTTGCCTGCATATATGTATGAGTACCACATTTATTCCTGGTGCCCACGGAGGTTAGAAGATGGCATCCGATCCCTTGGAATTGTAGTTATAGATGGTTGTGAGCCACCATGTTGGTTCTGGGAACTGAACCCCAGGCCTCTGGTACCTTTAACCACTGAAGCATCTATCTCTCTAGCACCCCTCAGGATGCTTTGTAATAGTGGCAGGATGGAGAGACAGGAGTGAACTGGAGGGCATTGAAGAACAGTTTAGAGACATCCACAGGCACTTTAGTGTTCAGTATAGAAGCCACTGGTGTTTGTGTTTGTTCATTTTCTCTACTCACCATTGCGTGATTAAGCCATGCTGGAAAGAAATCATCCAGACCCTTGGGGTAAATGAGACTTCGATCATAGTGAAAGAGGGTCCAGAATACCAAGAATATAAACTGGAAGGGAAACACAAAAATACTACTATTAGAATTGTTTTTCATCAGAGGTTTCTAGGCTAACAAGGAAACAGCAGCATAAAAATTGATGACAGTATGAAGGATATCGTATACACAATTTAGGGACATGAAACAAAAGGGGAAATCTCATTGTTTAACAGCTGTATCCTGGCTCTCTGGGGATTCTTCAATGAGGGCAATGTGTTAGAAAGCAACTGTGGCCATTGTGGCATGCAAGGAGGACACGGTTACAAAAGATGCATAGACCACAAGTCCTTTATTGTCACCAATGATCTCTCTCTCATCTGAGTGTATACCCAGAATACTGAGAATGAGCATATGGAATGGCTTGCCATATATTTGTTGCCCCCTCCTCCCTCTAAGTAGTCATGGCAAAGGACAACAGGAAGGCTTGGAGTAGGGCTCAGCACCAGATCATCTGTAAGCTACAGAGTGAGAGTTGGATCTCTCCATTGCTCAGAACTTTGGATTTATCTGTGTCTACTGTACCCCTTGTATGTCCTATCCCAGCACCTGCCCTCTGTGTGTGCTAAGATGATGGGGTGGGCTATTACTTTTCCCATCACACTACCTTTTGAATACATAGGCTCAATTTGCAAGAAAAATGAACATTGTTCCCTTGTTCCTTTTAACATCTTGAACTTCAGAAGATTTTCTGAATTCCACAAAACCTGGAATTCTACCTTAAGTGTCTGTGCCATCTGAAAACTCACTGGAGGTGCAAAGTTTCACTCAGCAAAGTTTTGAAGTCTCCATGCCATGGAAAGCAGGGCTGTGGTGTGGGGAATGAGGCAGTGATTTCTACCCCCAGGCCCTGCTGCACAGCCAGCATGTAGGCTCTTAGTCTGTTTCCATTTCGGCTAAGGAGTGGAAGAACAGACAATGTAATGGAAATGTGGGCAGTGCGAACAAACAAGCTCACTTCTGCTTGTTCACAGCTTGCTTTTCCTAGTATTCTATCCATCAGAAACAGTGAATGAAGCATCTACCCTGTGCCCTGCATAACATGCTGTGGGCCAACTTTGAAGGTCTGATGTCTTTTATTTTTTTTATTTTTTTTATAAATTTTGTATTTGATAGCTTTCTGGATGTATAGATGGGGAATCATCTTCTCCACCTAGGACTCTCCTTCCCACCATCATGATGGAAGCCAGACTGTCCCACTGACACTGTCATCCCTTAGCACTCATGAGGCTACTCCAATCCACAGATGCTCGAGTCCTGTATATGTAATGGGATCACACTTGCCTAGGACCCATGTATGCCCTCTTGTGTGTGTATTAAATCACCTAGAGTCTGCTTATAATATCCAGCACAGTGTAAATGTTACGTGGTTGTTAAAAGTATTTTTGTTTGATTTTTATCCATTTGTCAAATATAATGGATCCTTAGTTGAATTTGTGGGTGCAAAACCCACAAACATGGAGACTTTTTAAAATTGTATTTTGCTTAAACTTTCCCCATCAGGCAGCAACAAGGACCATGCACAAAACCTTCACAAAGACAGAAAGTTAATGATAAGCTCATCTGTCATGTACCCTACTTCCTGAAGACACCGGTCAATGCAGTCAGTCTGCAGACAGGACATTTATGGAAATTGAGATGTTCTGGTTGTAATAACAAGTCCCCAGACAACCTTGCTGCTCCAGAAGTGTCCATCCCTTGTACATGCCTGTGACGTTAGATACGCATTTTGCCACTTACAGCGGATATTGGAAAAACCAATGTGGTAAAAAGCAGGTCTCTGATGGAAGTGATGATCGTGATGTCTTTCCTTCCTATGATTCTTTTCAGCACATCATCCAGGCAGGCGACCCCAAAGAAAACAGCCTGCAAGAGCTAAATTCATTACAACAAATGAGCATTTGCATTGGCTTTAATTAATACATTCTTCAGTGGTATAAAACTGCAACCCTCTGGGAGCTATGCTGATTTGAGAAGGAGGGGATGGGGTGTTGTTTGGGTGGAGAGTCAATGCAAGGGCTAGGATTCCAGCTCATTGGGCCTTGACCTTACACAACACATTCAGCAAGTTCATTTACGGGATAATAATGTGTACAGTATTTAGTCTAATGGCTTTCAGCTAAAATGGAAACAGAATAGAGTTTCGAGGGAGGATGTAATGAGGTGTATACCATGGCCACACAGAGGTAAGAATCAAACATACGGCTCAGGGGGAAAGGCCAAGCACAGTGGTGGCACAGTCAGGCCTGTCCCAGGAAAGACAATTAAGGAAGGGAAAAGCCTAAGGTGCTGGTTGTACAACTCAAGTCAATGGAGTGGCTGCCTTACACCATGAGGACCTGAGTTCAGATCCCTAGTATTTGTGTAAAAGCAGGATACGGTGCAGCATGTGTCTGTAACCCCAGCACTGTGGGGTGAGGACAGACTGGTGGACCCCTGAAATCCCTGGCCTGTCAGCATAGTCAGTTGGTGAGTTCTGGGTTCAGTGAGAGACACAAAATAAAGTTGACCTGTGGCTTCCACACATATGTACATGCATGCACACACCCACATACATGCATAAGCATGTTCTCTCTCCACACACACACACACACACACACACACACACACACACACACAGCCCTCTCACTAAGAATGCCATAATGAGGGCCATGGGCCCAAGGGGAGAGCCCTGTGCATTTCCAAGAAAATGGAGATAGTGTGAAGCCAGTGCAGCCCCCCCCAACTACAGTGCCCACCTGACCACCTTAGAAAGGCAATCTGACAATTGAAGGGATTTAATTTAACTCACAGGATATAGGAAGCAAGGCCCAGAGCTCTAGCAGTTGCTGAGTTCTGTGAGGCCCATGAGGCAAGGCAAGAGAGAATCAAGGTCTCTTTCACTCAAGTAAGCTTGAAGGCCCCTCATCCTAAATGATTGGTAATGGAAGTATTTTGGATTGATGATTTCTTTGTCCAGATTTTAGAATATTGACAGATAATGGTGATAAGACTCAAGCGAACAAACAAAAATCATTTATTCTTTATTTTTACTTCTTAAAAATAGCTTGAAGGTAACCCTGTACTATATTTTTTAAAAAGAATTTTGTATATGAAATTAATTCATATGATGTGAATTTTCCCATTTGTGGTGTCATACTTGTGACCAAGAAGCTTTTAGAGCCTTTCAAGGGTCAGGTCTTTGGATTTGGGATGCTAAACCCTTAGTATGGCCCTATAGGTAAACCTTATGTGGTCTTGGTATTTTGTACAATGTTATGGCTGCTAATTTTAAGGTCTGGTGGGTACTGACTATCCTGAGATTGGGTTGAATTTGAAATCATCTCAGAGTTGGGCAGTGGTGGTGCAAGCCTTTAATCCCAGCACTAGGAAGGCAGAGGCAGGTGGTTCTCTGTGAGTTCAAGGCCAGCCTGGTTTACAGGGAGAGTTCCAGGACAGGCACCAAAGCTACACAGAGAAACCCTGTCTCCATAAACAAAAGTCATCTCAGTCCGTGGAAGCTCTGCTTTGGCATGTGAGGGGCAGTTGGATTCTAGCCTAGAGTATGAAAGTTACAGAGCCCAGGGTGCTAGGTTAATAATTGAACCAAGTTGGCTGTTGCGGAACAGTGACTGAAGCCTACCTAGACTTGAGCAAAGATCTAAAGTTGGCTTCAGGACACTCCCTGTGCTGAGGCATGAGTAGGGAGAGAAGCAGGTGTGGATTCATCCATGACTCACCGCTGAGTCCTCAGATCAGCTTCAAGTGCCCTGCCTGGAGCTTCTCAGAGAACCAGGCTCTTCTCTATTTGCAGACTTAGGATCACAGAGGCTAGAAAGGAGGCCCAGTGGTGATTTTTAAGCCAGCACTCTAGGGGAATCTTTATGGATTAGACATCATCGTTCAGGGGTCTTACTGACGACTCAGAACTGCAGTAGCTGACTTTTAGTCGTGGCTTGTTACATTCCAGACTCAAGACTCGATATTAATTCTCAAACGTCCTTGGGATGTGCTAAAATTAAGCTAGCAGGCCCATCTTAAGGACAAGGAAAAGTGGCCATTAGTGGTGGTGCACGCCTTTAACCCAGCACTCAGGAGACAGACAGGTGGATTTCTGAGTTTGAGGCCAGCCTGGTCTACAGAGGGAGTTCTAGAACAGCCAGGGTGACACAGAGAAACACTGTCTTGGGTGGGCGAGGGTGGGCAGGGGGATGAGGAAAATGGGATAAAAAGAGATTAACAAGCTTGGCTCCAAGCTCCATGGCTTCATTGTCTAGTTTTGAGCCAGACTTAAAAACATCAGATTTCTCAAGCAGTCCACACAAAGTTCTGTGGGAGGTCAGAAGAGAAACAATTCCGAGTGAGAGGATAAAATACAACTTTAAAAAAACAACAAAGTCCACTTTCTACCCTGGAAATTCCCTTTTAATGGGTCTGGGGTGGGGGTGGGGGAGCCTGGTCTGGGGAAGGGATGGGGATTAATAAACCTTCCCATGTCTGCCTGATCTTTCTGGTGTGTGTTGGTGAGATGGAGGAAGGTTTAGCCATGGATCCACCTTGGGCACTGTTCCTTAGGAGCCATCTTCCACCCTGGTTTTTGAGGCAGAGTCTGTCCCTGAGAGCTGGGGGCTCTCTGCTTCAGCGAGGCTGGTCAGCAAGCCAAGCCCCAGACATCTCTCTCTCTACCTTCTCTGTGCTGGGATTACAAGTTCAGGCCGCCATGCCTGGCCTCTTAAGGAGGTGATGGGAATAATAGTTCGGTCCTGAAGCTTGTGCCCAGGCACTTACTTGGCCAGCTAAGCCTTCTCTTTCAAACCATATTTCTGGGATATTCTCATTCTAGGTAGCTGAGACTGAGGCCCATTTATCTAAGCAAGCCTCCTCCTAGAATTACAGACCAGATGGTCTCAGGAAGATGGGAGTGGGAGAAGACCTAGGTAGCCAGTCCTTCAGTGTGGAATGGAATGGCTAAGGCAGTCATGAGAAGGGGACAAATGCTGGAACTCTCCGCTTGTGCAGCACAGAATGAGGCCAGGGTTATTCAAGGCAGCCAAGGCCGACTCAGAGGCAGAAAACACAGTCTGGGTGAGAGTCACAAATTGCCTAGGGAAGCAGGAGGCTTCCCAATGGCAGAGGGTGTGTGTGGGAGGGAGGGAAAGGGCCACAGCTCTAAATGCTATGCAGTGGTTCCCTCCAGAAGGCTTACACCTACTGTGGGTGCCTTTGGAACCAAGCCCGAGAGCTGCTGCGGAATTCTGAGTGTGCACACAGTCGTTTGCACATGGATGTCAGAAGTTGCATCTTCTCCCTCCTCCTCCCCCCACCCACATAGCTCTCAGACCTAGTTTCACTTCCAGATACTCTGGCAGCAGCAACCTCTTCCTGCCTTAGTTTGCAGAAGCAATCGGGGGTCTGAGCTCTGTTGATCAAGACACCAATTCATCACACACTGGACCGTCCCCTTAATCTGGCCTCTTTGGGAGAAAGGCTGCTCCCACCCAGAATGAGAGTTATACTACCCGGTGTTGAGTCATCGGGAGTCAAGCCCATCCTCCCCTTGCCATCGCAGTCACGGAGTGTGGAAACCAGATTAAGGAAGACAGTAAATTACTCAGCTCCTCCGAGGTTTCTCTCCATCAGTATGAATTAGCTCCCCAGTATAAATGTGCCAATCACCTCTCCCCCTCCATCCCCAGCTCACACATCGTCTTGCAAGACATATGCCACACTGGCATCTCCAGATGCCAACTCAGTATGAGGCAGCCTTGCTGCCATTGATCTGAGTACTGACATGCCACATCAGTATCAACAACGAATATTTGGGTAGCAGCAGGTCCCACATGGGTGTTGGAGAGGAAGGCATGAGGGTGCTGCCAAGGCATTGACAGGCTAGAGTTGGGAGTGTAAAGGGACTCCTGAGCAGAGTTGGAGGATAAATGTGAGAAGTCAGGGGTCCTAGGACATCTTGAGGAGGGTCAAGAGCACACTTGGACTAATTTAGGTTATTCAGATGAGTAGTGATCTGCTTATCTACCAACGAAAAATAAGACCATGTTTATAAACACACACACACACACACACACACACACACACACACACACACACACACACACACACACACACACACACGGTGATAGCACTCTTGAAAGAGAAGAGTTATCAGGAGAAAATACCAGCCGCTATGGACTCCTTTGCATCCCCTCCAGAAATGTATATGTTGGTGTTCAAACACCTACAGAATTCTCAGAAAGTAACTATATTTGGAAGTAGGGTCTTTAAGGACTTAGGTTATAATGAGCACACACAAGAAGGTCCATGCAATCTAACTAGTGTTCTCTAGGACACAGATATACACATGCTTAAGCGTGTATGTGGGTTTGTGCATGCATGCACATATGTGTGGAGGCCACAGCAAGGGCTAGGGTGTAAAGGAACTACCGAGCAGATTGAAGGATGAGGGGTGTGGGAAGTCAGGGACTCTAAGGAGTCTTGAGGGAGGCTGAGGGAACATCGGAATCATCTCAGGTCATGTAGACGTACAGTGATCTGCTCATCCACCATCCTGGGACACTGGCTCCCAGGAAAGCAGGCTTCATGGTGTCCTGATGACCAAAGCCTTTTCCTAGCTGACGTTTTCTGATTCATCTTTTCTACCAGCCATTCCAGTCTATTCCAGTGGAATGTTCTGGGTCTTTTCCTGAAATGCTACTGCTCTAAATTTGTTGGTTGTCTTTTTGTTTCTGTTGCTACCTAGCAAACTTATGACCAGTGACAGAGCTGAATTCACACACACACACACACACACACACACACACACACACACACAACCTAATGTGATTTAAGAAACTGTAGCTGAAGGATATTTAGTTTGCACATTCCATGTCTTCACAAATCCA